ACATCACCATCTATTAATTAATTAATAATAATATTAATATTAATTAATTTCCACTCTTTTGGGACTAAAATGAATCTTTTAAAATTCACTTTCATGCTAGTTCTTACTTGTGCTCATTTATTGCCCATTTAATGTCAATAAATTATTCCAACTCCCATTTCAAGTTTACATCATACCAAGATTTCCAACACGCCCGCTATTGACAACTCTGCTGCAAGGTTAGAACTCTGACATCCAAGTCAGTTGCAGAGTCCAAAATGAGTGAAGAAAGAATGATATCATAAAGTGTATCTTAAGTCTCGTTTGTGTCAATTATATATGATGAATAATTTTTTTTGGGCTTGATATTAGGATCTTAATCGGTTTGGCCTTTTGTCAGCCCAAAACAGTTGCCTCCAAGGTTTGTTGGATGTTTTATCAGTCAGGAAGTCATGTGAAGTTGTGGTCGGTATCTCGTTACCAAAGCCAACCATAAGAAGAAGTCGTAAGGCCGTGAGGCATTTGCAGATATAGTGGGGAACAAGCGCATTAAATTTATTTTTCATCATTGAGACGTTTCGCTGATTTTCAGGCATGAGACTTAAGTTCCAAGTTATGGTGTGATACTTATCTTTTCAGGTGTTTATTTTTAACTTTACATTCTTTTTTATCTGACTCGCTGCTTGCTTCCTTTATATAAGGGTTTCTTTTTTTTAGGTGCATTTTTTTTCTATTCCTTTGCTTGAGCGTTTGCTTTCTTTTGGAACATAGCTTTGTCACTTTGTATTTAACCTCTACTCTTTCACATGTCCCCATTCTCTACATGTACCTTATTACCCTGAGTTTATTTCCTCATTTCTAGTCATTATTTTTGTTATGGCTCATATAAATGATCACCCCGTAAAACTATCTAGTGATTCCAAGAATAGTGGTTCCTCTTCCTTCATTAAATCAGAAATCTATGCTAGTTCATATTCTAACCTTTTAGTTACTATAAATGTCACTCCAATTATTATAAATGTACCTGATAGTTCTAATTCAGAGAGGTCCTCTAGTGATTCTCTTGATAAAGAAACTTCTCCTAATTGATCTTCTTTCGGCACTTTTCTTTCTAAAAACGGGTTAGAAGTGATCTCACAATCACAACGAGTTCTACATCGGCTCCTTCCATAACCTTAGGGGATTCAACTCTTCATGTTTTGGCTTCCCCGGAGGTGGAGGTTACTGCTTTGAATAAGGAAAAAGATTATCACTTCATCAGAACTTATTGGTTCGCCTTTGGCCAGATCTAAGTGACATTGAGATTAAGGATCATCTCAAGCTTGGGACTCGGTCTACTAATTTTGGTTGGCTCACGCCATCAAATAGCTTTTTGGGCTAATAGAGCTGACTGATGCGAGCATATATTGTTGGGTGGATTTTGAAATATTGAGAACCCTCTCCATTTTAGATAATCCAGCGATGGTTAGGGAGGATAACATGGAAGCATGTTTTCCTTCTAATTGGTTGGTTCTTTCCGTGGAGTCATGCAAAAGGATTTATGGAAATTTCAAGAAACTTTATATCCCTTTAAACGAGTGCTTGTTTAATTAGAGAAATTTGTGGTTGCCCTTGACCGGATTTGAAGAGAATGTGTTAAGGTTCTTAAAGATTCTCCCTATAACTTCATCCAAGTGCTTGGGCTTTGATAAGGATGTTTAAGCTCTGAGTTTATTACCATCTTTGGAAGATCTCCTGTCGGCTATTTTTCCACCTTTTTCTGTGGTACACACTTCACTGCGCCAAGACATTTCCTGATTTAATGCTTATGTTGAGAACTGTAGTGATTTTTTAGATCACTTTGTGTTGGTAAAACAATATACTTTTGAGGCTCACTCCACCTTCTGTCAAGTTCCCACGAACTACCTCTATCTGTTGGTTCCCAGGACTTGCCTCAGAGTAAATGTACATATAGATTTCAAAAGTGTTAGTCTTGGATTCATTTTAAATATGAGTTTCATAAGTATGTCGTCTCCTTAGATTCTCTTACCTCAGACGAGATTAAGATGGAGGAAGAACTTAATACCTTCTATGAGGGTCTCAACTATGTAGAGGGATTTGGCCTTTCTGAAGTAAATCTTTCCCTATAGAGGAAGTGGTTGATCGATAGTTATGTTATTGTGAGAGCAACTAATAGTCTAAAAAATGAGATTTTTAATGAGGATAGAGAATCATTCCTTCATTGTCATTTTTTTATTTTTAATATGGCTTATTTTTGGTCTTGCAGATAAGATGGCTTCCATGAAGAAAATTATTGAGCTGGTTAAAAATGGGAGGCTAAGTCCGCCTTTGCGACTTTTTTTGGATCGAGCCCCTACTCCTCCCCCAGTTGGGTCTGATATCCTTGCCACTACTAAAGTTCCCCAGTCTCCTCTGACCGAGACCAGCCTTCTATTGGGACTCTTGTCGTAGGGATTGAAGATCAGGATTTGTCTTCTCTTGTCAATAATAAGAGTGACCGTAGGTAAGTTTAGACAGTGGACTCGGCTGTCCAAGGGTGCTTTTGTCATACTTGTTCTAGCCAACGTCAGATCATTTACACCTCTGCTTAAGTTGCCAGTCATTCTACCATTTGGGATTCTCTGCACCTCTTAAGAGGCACTTGCTTCAATCTCTGAGAAAAATCTTTCATATCTCCATAACCTTCCTAAGGCGAAGAAAATGTAATTCTTTTTTGAGGCGACTTTTTATGCCTACCGGACGACTTCTCTATTTTCTCTGCTCGCAACTTAACCAGCAGAAGAGAATCATGTGGATGTTTCCATCTTCAACAACCATTAATTGACCAACAAATTCTCTGTTAAATCAAAGATTTGCATTTATAAGATAAACAACCTTACACACCATAAATACACATAAAATCAATAATGTATTACTTATAATAAATTGACCAACAAATTCTCTGTTCACGTGAATATTCAAAGAAATGATAATGTATTACTGATAAAATAAAATCAGTATTGTTGTTTTGGACAAATTGTGTACTTCTTTACCATGATTTTCTTTTGATTAGTCAAACAAACAATAATACTGTAAATGAAATGTCATAACAATAAGCTTTATTAATTTGTTGGTGTGGAAAAATGTCATTAAAATGGAATGTCATTATTATATACTTATATACTTGAGTTTTGAAAAACAATTTTCGTTTGTTTAGTGAAACAGACAACTATCGTGTTCTTTTTTATAATAATAACATGATATATAAATGGAAATATGATTACAAATATAACAATCGTTTGACTAAAATAAACTCAAAATTGTTAACAAATAGTATATAAATGAAAATCTGAGTTTATGTTAACAAATAGTTTATAACTGGTTGATTTTAAATATAATGATTTTGGTTCTCTGAAAAAAAAGGTTACTAACAGTTTGGAGTTTGGTACGGTTCATATTTAAGAACAGGTGTACCAAACCAAATTATTTGGTTCAGTTGGTTCTAAATAAATCAAAACGGTTATTTTCGATTCTTACAATTTTTCAGTTCGATACAGTTTGATTCTCTTAGCGAACTATACCATACACAATCTTAATTCCAAATTTGTTGTCTGAATTTCATACCACACTTTAATTCCAAACTAGTGGACATGGTGGAATTTTCAGGGAGAAAATGAAGGCGGTGTGAAACAATTTATTGCCAAGTGTCATGTTTGTCAGTGCTTGCCACAAGGCTTGCTCCAACGTTTCCTATTCCAGATTCTATATGGGAGGAGGTTAACATGGATTTTATCAAAGTTTCCCAAGTTGAGGAGGTTTAATAGCAATTGGGGGTTACTGGACATGTTGAGCAAGTATTCTCACTTCATACCTCTAAAACATCCTTAGAGAGCAAGACCTATTGCTGAAATCCGTGGTAGAAAGGAAGTGGAGCTCCATGACATGAGATACTTGTGTTAATTGTGAGTGATAGAGACTTCACCTTTCATGAGCAATTTTTGGGCAACAGTGGATCCTGTTGCAAGGGACTCAACCGTGAATGAGCCCAACTATGAATACATAGATTGTGCATAATCCTCGTGGGACTCATGCTAGGACCACCCCTTTGAGGATGGGACCACACCACCTTTCATTTCCAAGTTTGTACCGGTAGATGTTCTAATTTAAACCTTGTCACAGGATCTAACGGACAGAAATGAGGATTTGAAGTACTTAAATGATCATTTGCAACACGCACAACATCACCATGCTCAGGAACTTGATACATGATAATCCAAAAAAGGTCACAGGGTGGAACATACAAACGGCATTATCAAAGACCTTTTCAAGATAACCTGTTGGTTTAACATTGGTTTCATAATTGCCACCATCATAGATGGTCCACCATACCATTAAAAATATGGCATTAAATAGTGTTACTGTCCTATCTAACCTCACTTTGAAACCCAGCATTGATGTTCTCCAACCAATACCGTTTATAAAAAACATTATTAATTGTAACTGTACTTCTCTAAACTCCCATTCATGTGAACCAACAAAGAGCCATTGCCTTAACAAAATTTGCACTACTGCCCTATTAACTTAGGGTCTTTGTCATGGCGTGTTGGAAATCAAGCCAATTCTTTTCGAATTCGCCACAGTACAAATAAACATTAAGGTGAAATGGGCCAAAGAATTCAAATTGTAAACACAGAATTATGTGCCAGCGTGGAAAATTTTATAGTAAAGCAGCAATTTCAAAGTCCGCACTTTTAGGACCATTAACAAAATGATATAACACTCTAAGTTTGAGCAAACAGGCTCCAATCATGCATTTTAAACCCTCTTGGTGGACAAGTTTAGCAATTGAAAGATAGTTCATCATGTCAAATAAAAGGGCAAAATATATGCATACATAAATTATGTGTAATCCATGAGACTAATGCTGGGAGATTTGTGATGTGCCAGACAAACACTCAAGCCAGGGTCCTGGGAAATTTGGGAATGGGAATAGTGAACAACCAGGGAACCTTCTTGCAAAATGAGACTTCAAATTACAGCTGCTAATAGGTTTTTGTTTTGGGAACCTTCTTCTTGGGTTGCCTTCTAGGAATGGAGTTCTTCATCCCAATAAAAAACAATAAAGCCCCAAAGAGGGCCATATTCTGCAAAGAGTAATACCATACCAATAAACAATAGCAACAATACATGAAGGAACATTGCGACAGTAGATTGAAATCAGGCAACATGAAGATAAATTAGGAAAATTAACAAGCCCGAAATCAGGCAACATGAAGATAAATTAGGAAAATTAACAAGCCCACTGCTCTGACCTGGGTAAATTTGATGAAAAGTTTAATATATTCTCTGTCCTCAGTGTCATAATTATAGAAATCATACAATATTGGAGTGGTAATCAACTGATGCAAAAGCTACAGGGAGAAAAGAACCATATTAAACAGAGATGAAAATAAAGTTATAAACTCAATTGCATGGAGAGAATTCAAACTACAAACCAGAAGTGTAGCTCCAAGTGAACTGCCAAGTATGAAAAAAATCCCTCCAACGCCCTTGAGAGCAATAGCCCCAGCAACTAAAAATTTCATCTGCTTGTGATGTGACATAAACTATATTATATAAATAAACACAAACATTCTAGATACAAAGCAAAGTAATATGCATGTGAAAAAGGAGTATCTAATCAAACACAGGTACATGTAGATAAAAAGATGACTATATCCATAACAGAAAAAATGATGAAACAAAATTCAATTATTTTCCATTATGATGTTTCTTAACTTCCCCAGCATCTTCCTCCAGCCTCCATGCATTTCAGTTTTCAGAAGTTGTACTAATTTTAAGAAGAAACTTCTGTTAACTTTTTACGATTCACGCCCAACACTATAGTACTACATGCTGAGAATCCAAAATTATACAAGGGCAAGCAGGCAAGCAAATATAAGTTTCGTGACCAAAATAATTAATCAAACGCATGTACAAGTTAATAGATTTTTAGAGTATAGGTTAATACTTTGTCCAGGCTGCGTGATAGTCATTTTTTCAAATGAAAAATGTTAGCTAGTTAGTAGCGCCAAACTTAACTCTACTACCACCCCAACCACCAGGCCAACCAGGCAACCACATATCCATACATAATAGTCTTATCTGAACCCATGCAATTAAGGCAAATGTATTATTAGTTGCCCTTGTAGGTTTTCATCTACAATCAAATTAGACTTCTCACAACATCCATGATAACAGAAAAATGCATGATCATTACTAAATTCCTAAGCAGTCTCAAACTACATGTTGGGCCTCACTTTAGCTTCCTTTTTTCTTGTGCTTTTTAATTTTAAATCATGGTTTCCTGACATAATTGATACTGAGAAAGAGAGACTAACGTCAATTTCTGGAAGTTGGAAGCCAACATGTGAATCAACTTTATTAATAAAGGCATCAAACTTTGGTCTGATTGCTTTTGCTGCAGGTCCCCCATCAACTCCATAGTCATGAAATCTGCGAGGGAGGAAAAATAAAGAAAAGTCATAAAAAGAATCATTAACAAACAAGTGCTTCAATAATTCAAATATCAAGTAAAAATAAGTTCCAGCTCCAAATTTCTGATTAATCATGAACAAAAAGTTCTAGCCATAACCTGCAACTCTCTCAAGAAGTATATAAAGAATAATCTCATAAACCATGTAACTAAACTGAAGTGATCCATTTTAATTAAAAAATAAACATGACAGTGTGTGAATAGAGAAGTAAGGGGGGCCCAGTATTCACATCATTCCACATAAATCAAAAATTACAATCCACTAGTAATCAGAAATCCAGTGTACAATTGAGATTTGAGATCACAGTTCATCCCGGGAGAGGGACATACAATTTCTCCAACAATCTACAAGAATATATTTGGGGCAAAGATCAGGCGTTGGCCTGTTGGTTAAGGCTTAGGACCTGATAGTGTGCTCGACGATTCCCACTAGGTGCTCTGGCTTTAAACGAGAAAAGCTATTAGTAAGTAGAGCTCATAATTATGATAAAATCATTTCAACTCTATCCTTTCTATGAAAGACTGTCAAAAAACCTATCCAAACTAGCTCCAAATTTAACATTGTTTTCAACAAATTTCCCAGTTTGACAATAACCTCTATAGTAATAAATCACATCTCTTAACTCATACATCTAATACATTAAACGAAAACAGATCCAGAAAAATATCTACTTTACATAGATCTACTGAATAATTTTTCTCAAACAAATCATTCAAGCCTCAAACAAACAGATCCAAGTACAAGAACTAACAAAAAAACCAATTCAGTAGAAAAAATAACCTAAAATTCATAGATTTCAACCAATCAAAAAACAAATCAACATGCATGCAATTTTTTGAAAGATAAAAATGAAAACATTGATTAGGGCAGAAAGTGAACTGACTCTTGGTAAGCAGAGAGGATGAAGACGGAGGCGAAGAGGACTCTTCCGAGGAAAGAAGCGAACGCCATTGTTGAGATTCTAGAGAGAGAAAAAGAGGAGAGAGAAACTAGGGTTGAGTGGAATTTAGTGTGGTGTTTGTTTTTCTTTCCCGGTCAGAGATAGAACAAAGACTAATGAGAAAAGAGAGCGCCAGAGAGGTTGGATTTCAAAAGGGGTGTAATTGTCTTTTAGTTCTGGATAAAGGGTACAACGGTCTAATAAAGTAACTTAACTACTTTTCGTCGGTTCTAATGGGCTTCTTTAATGACAAACTTGGCCCAACAACAAATGTAATAAACTACTTTCTACACCTCCCTTTTCCTAAGTTTTTGATTTTTTTAGATAAGTAATTTAATGTCTAAAATTCACTTTTTAAAAGTGAATAAGTGAGATATCGCGTATTCGAATTGATTATAAACAATGTCCATGCACATGATTTATGCACAGTTACCAATTAAATTGCCTTAATAGAATATTTAAATTTAATATTTAGTAAATAAGCATTCATTCCTTATAAATAATATTCTAATGAAGTTCAATGGTGATTAATTAATTTAGTAAATATGAGATGATGTAATAAAATAATTATCTTGAGTGAAGTAGAAATGATTTAAGTTAATTATGGGTAAACTTTTTTTAAGAAAATAATCTAGAAATAAATTTTAAGAGTATAAAATAAGTATAGTGCGTGTTATGGTGTAAGTAAGTTTTAGAGGAATAGGGTACGGTGGAATAATGTAGGTGCAGAAAGTTGCTCTTATTCATAAAGCTACTAACTTACCATGTGATACAACTCAGTCCAACGGAGAATGTAGTAACTTTAGAGGTTACAAGGCTACGGCAGAGTACTTTAGACATGTTTTTCATACATGTAATATAGAAAGAGCATTTCATAAAATAAAAAAAAATATCATACACATTTTCTAAAATATTATTCTAAAATTAGAAATATATTTTCGGTGTACACTTTTGATTTTTATTTTTAAAATTGATTGGAAACTGAAAATACATTCACAATTGTAAATCGACAATGTATTTCTGATTTCAATGTAATCAGTAGCAAGGAAAAAAAATAGGCAGAGAAATATTTTTTTTTCTTGTTGTTTCGCATTAAATATAAAAATTTGTACAAAACACACAACCAAGACAAGTGAAACACACACACGCACGCACGCATGCACGCACACACACACACACAAGTATAGTAGTACACATCACAAAAAGTGTTCGTGGCTGATAAAGGGATAACCCAAAAATATAATCCAAATACAATAACAAAAAAACTATAACCAGAATACAGATACATCAGCAAATACTATTAGGTATCGAGGATGATGAGTCGACATATTACCCTCGAGGCGTCTATTCGATACCTCCTCTAATGCAGAGCCTCCACTATGATGGCATCCAAAACACCTCTAACATCGGATTCATCAGGAAAGAAACCTCTATCAATATCCTTCCACGCAATCTCCATGATACAACGACACCTAGACAATACCTCAATGGCATGATCAGACATAACATGCTCCTTCTCTAGAATCTCCTGATGAGCTGGCTTCGGTGGGTTCCCTGAAGTATCATGTATCATGTATGGATGAGACACCCGAAAGAACCATATGATATAATCGTACTCGTAGTTCTAATCGTTTGGAGCAAAGGTACACCGGACCACATCTGGAACAAGATGATTCTCATTATCATCAAACAAGGCATTCATGTTCCTTCGTTTCACCGTCGGAGGAACTGATAGAATAAGACCTCAGGGAATACATTGGGTGTACCCGAACTGATGCATCATGCACTCAAGCATATAAGCAATTGTCTTGCGCGACCAGCAGGCTAACCATCATGTGAACAACGCAACCTCGTCAAATGGTATCGTGACACAATGGTCGACGTATGAATGGAAGTGTATGTCCTAAAAACCAGTCAGTCAATATACACCCAAAACGATTATGTCACTTGGTTCCTTTGAAGCGTGTTGTATGCAATGACACACAGATTATCTTCAGTATAATTCGTAGCAAGTGCGCATCCCGAGACGCGGGGGAAGTGTTGTAGGATCCAACCCTGAAATAATAAAATTAAATAGTTAGTTCCGGAATCATAATAATTAAGAAAAGGCCACAAAGACTAAGAAATTATACTGTCAGGAGTGTGATGTTGGCGATCGTTTTCCTCGTATTCCACTTAATTCCTTCAGACAACTTCATATACAAGTAAACCAAACAAACAACCCCTCAGTTCCACTGGTGGATAGTCTCAAAATCATCAAAGTACCGCAGGTACATTGATATCTGTGTAAGTGTCACTAGGGTCCATAAATATTTGTGTGCCAACAAGATACAAAAGGTATGCTCTCATGGCAAACCTCCGGTGAAGTGTAACCTGCTCGAGATCACCATCTGCCTGTTGTGCACGTGCTAGCTCATAGGTGAACACCTTATCCAAATAATTATACCTGACGTGGTTACCACGAGTTTTATCAATCTCTCACAGGGAACTCTCAGGGGTAACTCCCAACTTCTCTACAAACATATCCAACGCCTCCTCTTTATCAATCCTCTCATGATCTAAAAATGTCCCTCAGACCGGAAGATGCAGCAGACATGCAACATCATCCAGTATGATCATCATCTCACCATGTGGTAGATGGTGAAGGTGTGAAAAACACAATAAAGAGGGTTTGAATTGGGTTTTTAAAACAAAAACTTTTCTTTAAAAATATTCTCCTTTAAGTTAAAATCCTTTTTCCTTCACTCTTGATAGTAAGAATAGGAAGTAAAGAACAATGTATGTTTATACTAGTTCACCTTGAAAATTATCAAGCTAGTCTAGCCCATCCACCAAGGTGATTTCGCCTCACTCAATCGAGGACTTAATGCACTATAACCAAATTGATTACAATTCACACAAGCTACCTGAAAGTAACTAACAACCTATAAGACTCGCAAGTCCTAAACTTCTTAAGGATACAGATCTACCCTTCCTCTTAAGGAATATCAAACAATAATCAACCTGATTATTACAATGCACAAGATACCCGCAAGTGACTGATAACCTCTAAAACTCACAAGTCTTAGAATTCTTAAGAATACAGACCTACCTGGTCCCTTAAGGAAAATCAAACAACCGTTTGAATACAAGGTTTGTTTACAAGAGTATTGCTTCTACACAAGCTGAACATGTAAACTATTTTAAGAACAATGACTAAAGAATATGAAAGTTATGAAAAAAGGTTACGTGTGAATATTTCGTTGATTTTCTTCTAATTTCTCTCTTACACTTTAAGCCTTTATATATCCAATAAAATAATATATTCATTGAGGGATACTCTTAGGATTTCTAGAAACTTTGACAGCTTGAATAGTAACATGGGGGACCAGATCGTGCAACCCGTCCGTCCTTTCATGTTAGTGGAATGAAATGTTGATTGTACCATGTACTATTTGTACCACGTTAATGTTATCTTCTTTCCTTCTGCACTTCAGAGGCTTCTATGAGCATGAGTTTAGAATCGGGAACATAACATAAGGTCATCAGAACTTCAAGTCTTCAGAGTCTTCAGAACTACGTCTTCAGAGTCTTTAGCACTTGGTTGAGAGAACCTTTTCTTGGAACCTTGGGTCTTTAGAACTTCAACTCTTTAGAATCTTTAGAACTTATGTCTTTGGAGTCTTCAGCACTTGGTCTTTAGAACCTTGTTATTAGAAACACAAGTCTTTGGCATCTAGACTTCAGTAGAAACTTTGTCTTCAGATCTTCTAACTTTGTTTCTTTAGAACCCGTTGTCTTCAGAAACATTAGTCTTTAGCATCTAGACTTAAGTAACAACATATGTCTTCAGATATTATGAATGGTTTCTTTAGATGAACATCAGAGCTTACACTTCAGAGCCTTCTGGAGTGTCTTGCTATTGTTCAACAGAACTTGTGTAGTGTAGAAACAAAATTAATTCTCTTATAATATCTTGGCCACACCATCCATCAGAAGCAAAACCTGTTTGTTAAGTACTCAACAATAACAAACATTAGAGTATCAAAATTGTTCATACAAACATACTCATTTGTTATCATCAAAACTCATAGATGATATTGCAGAACCAAATCTCGTTCTTACAATCTCCCCCTTTTTTATGATGACAAAACTATGTATTTTGATGACACAATTTTGTTCATGTAATCAGAAAAAAGTGAAAATATAAAGGTAAGGAATACTTATCCTTTTTATAATACTCCCCCTGAGTCAATGACTTGATGAAGATCGAATGTCCTGACTCTAAACCATTTGAGTAAAACTCCCCTGGTTCCAATAAATCAAATATCAAGATCTTTATAGTCTTGACTCTTGATGCCAATGGAAAATTGAGATCTTGATGCAAATCGAACAGTTGAGATATTTGTTTTAATTAAACAATTGAGATCTTGATTTCATAGAACTTCTTCTTATTGAATCTTGACTTTAGATGCCAATGAGAATGAAATCAGATTGGAATCTTTGAAACTTTAATGTCACTAAGACAACTTCCAGATTCTCAATTATTGGAGTCTGATTCCAAATTTCACTTCTTGGAGTCTGATTATGAATTGAAAAACATCTTCAGAGTCTGAAGCCAATAGGAGTCTGAATCGAATAGGATAATGCTTTCAGATCTTCTTTAATCAGTGTTCTCATTTCCTGAAAAAGAAAAACAATCCTAACAGAAACAGAAGTTTAACTGGGTTAGAATGTAAGCAGCTTTTTTCAGAGACCATTTTCAAGAACTTGATTATTGAAATCAAAATTACGTTCATTTAATTACTCCCCCTTTTTGTCATGATAAAAAAGGTAATTATGTGTGAAAAAACATTAAAAAAAACCCAGAAGAAACAATAGGAAAAGATAAGAAGTTTCATTGATAATGTCAAAAGAAAACTTCATCAAATTCAAACAGTCGCATGATAGGTAAATTGAAGGGAGTAGAACAAATTAATATCCAAAAATAAAATTCTTGTAGACATCAAATAATCAGAAGAAACATAAAAAG